AGTTCAAAGGACTAATGGCTCACATGAGCCACAGGCAGTTCTCTTGCCTGAGACTAGCAGAACTAGATGGGGCCTGGCTACCACTACCAACTGCTCCGACCAGGTACACGATTGTTGTTGTTGCTGTTAAGTGCCATACAGTCGATTTCGACCCACAGCGACCCTATGGTCGCTGAGGAGCAGCTGGTGAGCTTGAACCGCCGACCTTGCAGTTCAACCAGCTTTGCATTCTGGCACATTAACCCACAGAACCACACCAGGACTCCAAGTACACAATAGAAGGTGCCAATTAGAGTCGTAGAAAAATGTAGAATAAAATTCAAGTTTACAAAAAAAGTCAGACTTACTGGTTTAATAGAGACTGGAGGAACTCCTAAAAGGCCCTAAACCACCCTTTTAACTTAGAAATGAAGCTACTGCCAGAGCTGTCAAATGTAGCTGTTGTTAAGTGCTGTCGGGTCAGTTCTGACTCATAGAGATCCTGTATAGGGTTTTGACGGAGCTGCTGATTCAATCTGAACCCCTGACCTTGTTGTTCAAACCAACTTTGAGGTTGAGTGCTTATCCATACCAGGGTTGTCATATAGTAAACCCCAAAGGTAGACAGTAACAGCTGTGAGGAGTGTGCTCCTTAAATCAAAAGGACACCAAGGAGGTAGCACTTGCTCAAAAGTAGAGATGAGAACGCAAAAAAGGGCAAGAAAACTAAATGACTACATATGGGGAACCCAATGTAGAAATGGAGTCCTGGTGTGGTGCTGTGGATTAATGCATCTGACTGCAAAACTGTTTGAACTGCAAGGTCAGTGGTTCAAGCTCCCCAGCTGCTCCTCGGAAACCCTATACAGGGTCACTGTGGGTCGGAATCAACTCAATGGTACTTAACAACAACAGCCACAAGGTAGAAATGGAAAGAATGCTGACATATTGCAGGGATTACAGCCAATGCTATGGAACAACTTAAGAATGAACTATTAAATAAGCTAATTTGGTATGTAAACTTTCACCTCAATCACCATAAAAAGCACCACCCCCCCAAAGAAAAAGTAACCTGCTAAAGGTATTGTGGTGCTGTGGGTTAATGTGCTAGACTGCATAATGTGCTAGACTGCATAACAACACAACAAAGGCATTACAATAAAATTCAAAGTTCTCCAATTTTACAAATGAATCCTAGGATCTTAGATCTTGTTACTAATCACACAAGTCAAAAATCAAAACATTAGTTTTATAACAGCAGAAGCTTTTCTCAGACCCACTTTCATCAAGGTGGCCAAATGCACCATTCATAAATCTACGATTTTTTTTTTTTTTAGGTTTCCAGTGTCAAACTGCCTTGGTTTCTCTCACTGCCTTAGAGTCAATTCCAACTCATTGCGACCCTATGTTGCTGTTAAGTGCTGTGGAGTCAGTTTTGACTCATAGCAACCCTATGAGTTCACAGCGTTTCCAAGGAGCAGCTGGCGGATTTGAACCACCAACCTTATTGTTCGCAGTCCAGTACTTATCCCACAGCACCATGCCAAGGCTCCATAGTGCCCCTATAGCATGAATCAAACTTCTCTTGTGTGCTGAACTTCCTCCCAACTATCAAAAGTATACACTTCAAGAACCCTTGAAGACTTATTTCAAAGTTGTCACGTCTTTAAGCACATACTTCCTCTGGCAAATATTTCCTACAGACCAAAAGGCAGCTTTATATTATCCTCACTAAATGACTGACGTTTCTGTTTGTGGGTTGTTGTGTCTTTTGTTTTTGCATTTTGAAAATGTCCATATGGGTGTTTGGAAGCCTGGATATTAAAAAAGGAAATTCAAACTATGTACGATGCCTTGATAACCAAGAACAACGATCTATCATTGGCAATGACTATACATCTGGCTACCCCATGCTCATATTACCAGGTAAACTGGAACCCTTTGAAATAAAACACAGAAGGCAGTTGTTAATGAAACCTTAATTGAACTGTCAAAGCACTATCTCTACCAGCAAGCTAATAGGTCACTCACTACTTTTACACAACTGCCCAGTACTGATAAGTTATTCCACAAGTTAAATTCAGCAGAAAGATAAATCAAGCCTGGTAGACTAAATTATTCAGTGATACAGCTAAATTGTAAAGTGCCACATCACTTCTACAAATACCTCTCCTTGTCTACATGGACAGCAATATCCCTCAAAATCACACGCAACTTTTTAGCCATCAATTAGTACTACTGACTGCATGTCCAGAAAAAGTACTCGGGACAGATAAAGTTCTCTTACACATACTATGCTAGACAAATATTTGCAAAATTTGGCCTGACAATAATGTACTAACTGAATATGTGTGTGAATCTAAGTGAATCTTATTAATACCCAAGTCACTCTATGGGATGATGTTTTAAACCAAATGAAAATATTTTATGTTCTATTTAAACCATTTTATAAAATAGTTGTTTCAGACTCATTAGATGCTTTGGAAATTAAAAAGAAAAATTCCGGTTCAGTCAGTTAAAATTTGTTTTAAAACCTAACTATAAATCTTGAACTTGGGTTTCAGAATACTAGAGCAATTCACTCTGGTTTAGTGTTTAAATTTCTAATTTTAGCAACCTTACTTCGGTCATTTAGCAGTTAAATTCCAAAGAGAACAAGCAATTCAGACAGCAAGTTATCAATATGTAAATACAAAAATAGAAGCATATTTGCATACTAAAACACACACCTGGAACTCTCTTCCCTTTTTCTCATGCCAAATTGTGTTTCACCTGTAACAGCTGATGACAAACACTTAAAAGCAGCTAACTAGGAAAACTTGGTTGAAGAAGGGACTGACCAGATCAACTAATCAGGCAGCAATAATGTGGCAGCACTGTGCTGGGGATACAACGCTGGGGAGAAAAAGAAGTTCTAGAAACACAGTTCTTACCCTCAAGGAGTTTACATGTAATAGGTAGATAAGACAAACATCTATTGATGCACAAACAGATGTTGCATTTCAACTACTAGGTAAATCCAAAAGTGTTACAATGGGTCAAAGCACAGACAGAGAGCTCTAAATTAGAATCAAATCATGTATCAGTAATTCATTGTACCCACTACCTAGCCCAGTCTTATGAAATCTTTTCTCTTAAACATGAACAGTTAAAAACATCTATAAATCATATCGCACTTTGGTAGAAGCTGTAGGTAAATAATGCCTGTAGAATTCAGGCAATAATGCTGCAATACATTTTACTTCCACTGACCCTAGTTCTTAGCATTATACCATTATACACAAATGAAAGAGAGCATCCAGAGCTAAGAAAATTCACACAAATTCTCAGTCAGTAAATCAGTGACAAAGTTGAAAGCAAGGAACAACCTTTTTCCTGTCCGTCCCCCCACCCCCAAAGCTTTGAAATCCTCAAGGGTTAGGCAAGGAATGGAAGTTCACAGCAAAATCCCTGGGGATAAAATATGGCAGGGAAGAGAAGAAGACAGGAAGGCAAGTCCCCGAGCAAAGCAACTGAAGAGGTACTATATCGGTCCCACTGCCTTTCCCACTAGGAATCCTGCACACCTTGGAGAAAGGAGCAATGCAGCAATAACCCCCTTGGAGATCTAGCAGGTAAAACACTGAATTCTACTAGGGGTTTTTTTGTTTTTGTTTTTGTTTTTTTGTGTGTGTGTGTGTTTTTAAATACTAGAACAGATCAGATCACTTGTTGTTGTTGTTGTAGATCACTTAGCAGATAATAAAACTTGAAATATAAATAAGGATGGCCAGATACAATACAAAAATGATCATCAGACCAATTATAGCCTAAAAAAAAAAAAAGACTAAAAGACATTTACAGGGAGGGCGAGTTACAAAGTTCATTTTCCTATGGTCATGGGGCTTTTCTAGACATGAACAAGAATCTGATTTTAAATGAACGGAAAACATAAATTCATCTATCCACACTGTAATACTTAAATCTATGGAGGAGAAAAAAAAAAAAAAACAGTTCCCTCTTCTTGTTTTGAAAGGAGTTCTAAGACTTTACATAGATAAATGCATTTCATTATAAACTACTAACCTTCCTATGAAGGACAAACTAAACAAAATGTTGCACTTTGCCCTTAGACTTTCAGAAAACATCCTTATTCTAGTGAAGGTAGAGCAGTTTCATTTGTTTAAAAAGTATACTTCCTAATACTCAACTGCAACTAAGGGATCACAGCAACTTGTTGTTAAATTCTGTAGAGTAGATTCTGACTCATAGCAACCCTGGATAGGGTTTGCAAAGAGTGGCTCGAAGGTTTGAACCGCCGACTTACAGCACCACACCAGGTCTCAAATAGCACTTTAGGGACATTAAAGACACCACCACCTCACGCTGAATGTGGGCCACTGCATAGCTACAGTCTACTGACCTCATTTATGGTACTCATGTGTGATGCTATATTTAATGCATTCTTATCAAAAAACTAAAGCTACTGCTTCCCAATTGTAGCTTTATGGTTTAAAATAAACCACTTAAGCAAATCCTAATTAATTCAACTATGAACCCTACCTTCCTCCTGAAAGTCAAAAGAATGAATGAAGGAAAGTAATTAAGCAAAGTATATCCTAATGACAAGACTATTATCATTTTGGAATAGTTTTTGGTCAGCTGTGACATTTGCCACCATTGGGCAACTGATCAAAACTAAAGCAAACACGAGAGATGATGACCAAGCTTAAAGGGGCATCTATCTCATGCATTCATCTACTGTTCCTACATTTAGAACCTTGCTTAGGTTCCTAACAGAAAAGTTTGGCGGACAGCAAACTTCTTTGTGTTACTCATCAGTGGGTGCTCCACCAGAATTTCCCATGACTCAAAAAGTGTAAGCCTAGATTGCCAACACACAAGGGAGGGTGACTTCCTACAGTTGAGATGAGAAGCTTGCTCCACTTTGGTCAACCTGGTGAAAACCATGAAGGCTGACTTGTCCAATCACAAGCATGAGAAGAAACCATGAGGAGTTGGGTGTTTCTTTTGATACTCACCAGACAACACCAAAAGCTCCATATCCAATAGGTCTATCTGGCTCAATATCCAGCTGCTGTTGCGGATGATGCGAGTGCTGATGATGGTGAGTCTTAACTGTAGCAGCTGTGGCAGCCTGTACCTGAGCTGGGGCTGCTGCAGCTGGTCCAGGGGCCTGACCCGGTGCCGGTGATGGGAAATATGGTTGTTGTTGTCCAGGGTTTAACATGGCTGCAGCTGCGGCCGCTGCGGCCGCTGCCGCAGCTGCCGAAGACGTATGCTGCTGGACAGGATGAACAGCAGCAGCCGACCCTGGATGAAGATGGTGTTGCGGGTGGTGGTGGTGGTGAAGGTGAGGAGGAGGGAGGTGTGGAAGGTGGTGGTGATGGTGGTGGTGGTGACCTGCTGCTGCTGCTGCAGATGTACCGCCATTATAAGCCGCCATCATTTTTGCGTTGGCTCTTGTGCCACAAAGAGACATTCAAAAAAAAAATGCCCTTTGATTGGAAAGCAAACTGGGTCAAGCTGTCATTTGGCCATTTAAAAATGAAGAAAACCACTCACTCCACCTCTAAAAACATAGAGCGGAAACTGGCTTTTATGTCTTCATCAGTCAATCCAAACAAGGGAGAGGATCTTGGTGTTTAATTTTGGGGTGAGTGTGCGTGGAAGGGTGTGGGTTGCCAAAAAAATAAAAGAAAATGAAAAAGAAAAGAAAAAGGAAAAAAAGGACCCCTTCCCCCCAGGATTCCAGCCACAAGTGGGTACTAAAACTCCATTCTTAATTTGGGGGGGGTTCCAACTTTGAATGTGGGAATAAAGGCCAAGCCTCCCGACCCCCTGAACTCCACACACGAAAAGGATCAGGTAACACACCACCCTTGGAATCTTGTAACAGGATTGACTCATCTACCCCTTCCATTCCCACATCCTTTTCTGAACCTACCACCTCCTCAAAAATACGATTTAAAAAAAAAAAAAAAAATTCTTTTTTTTAAACTCCAACCACCCCAAATTAAAAAGATGGGGGGAAATTTTCAGGAAAGGCAGCTTCCCCCCCTCGAACTTTCAGGCCTTCCTACATCTCCCCCTACTCCCGGTTTACTCCTAGTAAGGCTGATCTGATGGGGTTGGGGGGGGGGTCTTTAGATAAAGACAGGGAGAGGGGCTGTGTGCTGATGACGGGGGGGGGGGGGGGGGGGAGGGAGAGACAACTAAACTTTGCTGGGTAGAATGAGCCAGGGAAGGAGGCAGGAGGAATCGAGGGAGGAGAGGAGGCGACAGGGCAGGACACAGAGAGGAGAAAGAAAACCGGGGCAAAGTGAAGGTAAGGAGGTGCAGGGAGGAATGAAGGAGGAGCGGTGGGCAGCGCTCGGACGCCCGGAGGGAACCGCCCCGGGATCAGGTGAGGGTCCCGGGGCCAAAGAATAGGAGCCCCGGGAGGCGGGCGGGGTACAGTCGGAAGCGGGCTGACTCCTGCCCCCGCCGCCGGCTGCTTCAGCTAAGGAGGGCTGGGGGGGAGAGCGGGTGGGTCCCCCAGTGCGATGGCCCCCGCAGGGCTCAAGGCTGCTCCGTCTCCCCCCCTCCCCCCCCTCCCGGCTTCAGTCCCCGCGGCCGCTTTCTCTTCAGCCGCCGCCTCCTCAGCCGCCGGTGCCGCCGCGGCCGGACTCACCTCCCCTAGCAAAGCCGGATAGAGCGGAGCCAGCGGCGGACACGCGCAACCAGCCGCCGAGGCCCCGCCCCCACCTCACACTGACCGGCTGCCCTAGCCAATCCACGCCCACCTGTCCTCGTCCGCCTCCAATCCTGGACCCGGAGCTTCAGACAGGCGCACTGTTCGGCCAGTGGCAGCAAGGTGTGGGTCTCCTGGGGAAATCCCGCCCCCGACCCAGGATGGGCAGACAAAAAGACCAATCAAAAGGCAGAATGTGGCTTGACCGACAATGCTGAAAGCAAATGGAAAGGCAAAGATCTCCGTGACATTTTCTTTCGCCTCTATCCTCTTTTCTTTTTCTTCTTTTATTTTTTTGGCAGGAGCAGGAAGCTGCGTGCTAATCCCGCCTGCAAAAGCTGAAAGAGAGGGGCGGAATCAGAGAACCAATCATGAGCCGGAGACATAGAATACAGCAACCAATCCTTGAGTTGAAGATGAAGTAGGCTGGAGCTGGGGCCAGATAGACACTTGTTTTGACAAATGGGACAAAAGATTTATCTTGATCCCGCCCTTCAGATCGTTTATAGGGCAGGATTATGGAGCATTCGCTGTCAAATCGACTACGACCTCTCCAAGGGGCAGAGCCTGGTGAAATGGGTGTGGTCTAAATATTAAAGGGGCGGGACATATATGAAAAAGGCGGAGTACAAATCAATTGCTGGTGCATTGGTTTGATTAATCTACTGTCCCTTTTTAAGGCGTAAAGAGTGGAGAATTAAGGGGAGAAAAAAGGAATGTCTAGATTAAAGAGTCAAGGTCCAGCATTACTCAAGCAGACAATCTCAAAAGAAACTAAGTAAATTGAGTTTATAGTCTCTTGACTGATCCTCCATTGATACTGTTGGCAAAAAGTGATGTTATCGCCAGCATTCAGAACTCCACTCTTAATAGATGACAAGGCTGATGATACAAATTAAATAAGAATAACAATAAATTTAGCCACATAATAGTTTCCCCAACTATTTTCTAAGCAAGTTCTGTTCATTGAAAGCTTACTAAAATAATATCTCTATTTCATATGACCTTACTTATTTGAATTTGTTGTTGTTGTTGTTAGGTGCCATCGAGTCGGTACCGACTCAGCGACCTTATGCACAGCGGAACGAAACACTGCCAGATCCTGGACCAACCTCACTACTGTTGCCACACCTGAGCCCATCTATGCTACCACTTGGCCAATCCATCTCGTCGGGGGTCTTCCTCTTTTCCTCTGACCCTCCACCTTACCAAACATGATATCCTTCTCCAGAGACGAAGTTTGGCCATCTTGGCCTCCAACGAGGCACTCTGGCTGCACTTCTTCCAAAACGGATCTATTGGTTCTTTTGGCAGCCCATGTTACTTTCAATATTCTCCTCCAACACCATAACTCAAAGGCATCAATT